AGCCGCCCCCCCCCCCCTAAATTCCCCCAAGTTACAGCTACTAGTTCTGTTACTAAAACATCCTGCGTCCAGTTTTGCACTAAATGCGCCGTGATATATAGGCATGGCCCCTAAAAAATCTACAATGGCCCCTAAAAATCGAGTTTGTTGCGCCATACGGCTCCTGAAACTCAAAGGTGAGTTTCGAACACTGGCCATAGCCGCTTTTTTAGGCGCATTTGGCGCCTGTGAGTTTCGAACACTGGCGGCAGACATGCCCACCTATCAAGTTAATTGAGTGCTACTACCAGTATGTTACAAATTAACGAATGTTTTCTGTCCGTAGGTTGAGGAGAAGTTCGTAAGTTGGTGGGGTAGGGGTTTCCCCGGAAAAAAAGCAAAGATCAGGCTGAACGCATTGGCCGAAAATCGCGGACTCACAACCATCAAGTTCCTTACATCCGGGGAGTTCAGAGAGAAGACCGTAGAAGAAACGTCCAAGTTGAGAAGGCAAAGGTCGGACGAAAAGAAAGCCGAACTTAAGAGACAAGAGTCGTTAACGAGACGTTTAGAAAATCTCACGACGGACCTCGAAAAGTCGCGCACAGAGGTCGCAGTACTCCGGGATCAGCTAGAAAAAAAGGACCAAGAGATCGCGGAAACCAAAGAGGAAGGAATGGCCAAAATTGCGGAGATCAAAAGATTGGTGGCCGAAATTAAGGTAAGAATATGGGTAATGGGTAAACCACGGAATGGATAACTTGATAAGGTGCCAATTTAAGCATTCTGCTAAGTGATTCCTCATCAAAATTTCACGTAAAATACGATTTGAACATGGGAAATCACTGAGAGTAACTCCAGTATGGCAAAGGCGCCACTTTACCCCCCTCCCCTCCCAGGATGCCCCACTTATTTATTTACTTATTTATTTATTTACATTAGTATATATAAATGCCACATGGTGTGGCTAGAAAATACTTGTCCAAAAAAATAAAAAATAAAAAACCCTTAAATATAACCCTTAAACCCTTTAAAAACCCTGAAACCCAAACCCTTGAAATGGTCATCAAATGAGAGAGGTATGCCGGTTTTATTTCGCAATCGCAGTACTTAACAGAGAAAAGCAGCTTCGATTATTTTCCAAGAAGACTTTGAACTCAAAAATCTTACACATTACACATTAACATACATTACAGAGCATAAAAAAGCATTTGAGAATTTACAAATTAAAAGGCACAGAAAATTACAGGTCAACTCTCATGAAAAAAGAAACTATTCTCTAATCTTGCGTTAGAGGATTGTCATGTTTGCGGTGCTTACAAATCTGCACTCTCTTTGTATTTTTTTGATGGAAAGCAAATCGGTATTATTCCTTACAGCGTTCATAGTTTTCTTCTGACATAAAAAACATTGAACAGAAAGATTCTGAGATATAGCTGTGCACAGATTTGGGGGACGCCTGAAGGACACACATTCTTTCAAGTATGGTTATTTTGACTCCAGGGACCTTAAAACGCCTAGAAATGATGAAATTTCAACTTTCCCCCCTTTTTTTCTTGGACGATGACAATACTTCCTCTTCCCACGAGAGAGGCGNGGGTGGGAACGGGAAAACCCGCGGGGGGAACGGAGACCCGGCCGCGGGGGGTCCGCCGAACGAACATCAAGGGCGCGGGACGCGCTGGGACGGCGTGGCGGGGACCGATGTTCAGAGGGTCGCGGGGTAAATCGTATAACTTTATATAAGAGAATAACGTAACTACTACAAGTATTTCCTTGTATTTATCTACATGATTTAAAACTAAAACCAAACGAATTGCATTAATTTTAGGGGGTAACGTTAGATAATACGTTGATTAAAAGTATGACAATCAGGGAGGTTTTCGTGAATTGACGTTGAGCAGCTGTCCATTTAGAAAATAAATTACGCCAGTGAGTGGACAACGCCGCAAAACGAGATACGTGGTCTCGTAGTTTCACCCTTCAATATATTCTACGGTGCTAAGGAAAAACGTCGTATGACCAAGTACATTCGAGTTGCCAAATTTTCTTTGGTAAAATGTTTATTTTTAAGGAAAGTCATGAATCTTTCCTCTTGAAATTTTAAGATACCTTGGATAACATGCTATTTCTACCACGCCACTTGAGCTCGACGAATCAACTTAAGGGGAGTCGTGTGCCAGGAGCTGTGCGAAGTTTTGTGGTACAGGATAATGCAATCCGTCACCCCCATACCGATTTGTACCCTATTTGTATCCAAGTCTTTAAGCAGGCTTTCCTTAAAACGACATCTTTTAAATTTAAGGTGCACTTTTCTCAGAATCTACAAATTGAGTTTTCAAGAACTTTTTTCCCCCCTCTCTTATTCTCTATTTACAGACCAGAGTGATTTCTCTCATAACTCTTCAGAAAAAAATAAACATCAGTTTTTTCATATTTTGTCAAAAATTTGAGAAAATTTTGTTTCTAGAATTTTCAAAAGTCCTCTAAGCTAAAGCCAGAAAAAAGTTTTAAGAAAAGTTTTTTAAAAATCCATCCAGTAGAACTTGATAAAAGTGTATCAATAAATCTTACATTGTGAATATAGGGACTCAGGACTCCCTTTGAGAGAGTTTGATGTTGATTTCAGAGCAAAACGGACTCATTGAAGAAGAATGAAGAAGGTATGGCAAATTTGGAGGCGGAATTTAAGAAAATCAAGGGACTTTACGACAAGAAACTCACGGAATATGATAATCTCTCTAAACAACTATCAAAGTCTGAGCAAGAACTAAAAAGAGTCCAGGACAAGTTGGAAAATACCGAGGAAGCGTTGCAAACGTCCAAAGATGAGGCTGATAAATGGAAAGAGGAAGTTGAAAGAATGAGGGCTGAGGCGAACAAACCGTTTTTAAAACGTATGTGCGGATCGTGCTTCGGTGGAGGAGCTACAAAGAGTCCGGCCAGAAAACAAAAACCTGGTACCAACGGCAAGAGATAGGAGAGAAAACGGTAAAATAAAGAAAATAGATAAACACTGTAAATCATTCCACGCGCCATCGTCCAAAGATGGTCGCTGGACTAATCCCTGGACCCCGGAGGTTGTTTCAAAAAACTATCGTGCGCCCCCCCCCCCCNCCCCCCGCGTATTTCCGCGGGAGGATTTGGTTCAGATTTGGTCGAATTTTCCAACCAGATCGGTAGGGTTGCAACTAGAGTGCCTATATCGAGAGAGTACGCCAACACGGGCTAGCTAGTAATTTTGAGGTTAGGTCATGGAGTTTTTAGGGCCCAAAAAGGCAGCCAACCAGTGAATTCAAATCATTCAAAGTGACTGATCATTGCTAGAGTACCTATATTGAGAGAGTATGGCCACTGGGCCCCATGGAGAGGCTTAGGACCCAAAAATGGCGGTGCTTTGTTTTGGTTTTTGTGGATTGGAGGGGGGTCATTGCCAACTTTTGACGGTTATCACCAACCGCACTTGCTGCCAACCTTACTACATCTAAGATAATTTTTCTCAAAAATTGCACACGATTAGCCTTAAAAATATGTAAAGATGTCGCGCAATAGTGCATTTGAGTAAATTTCTCGTTACGATAAGCAAAGAAAACTACATTTTGAGTCATTTTGCATTAGATTAATTTATGGCGTCCGCCATTTTTGGATCCTAAGGGCTCCATTTAGCCTAAGATGGCTGAGCCAATCAGAGATGGTAACCCCAGTGGCCATACTCTCTCAATATACGTACTCTAATTATTGCGGTTGTTATGACCCGTCATTTACAAAGCACGTGTTTGACTAAGTTTTTCCATAAATTCACACTGAAAAAAAAACTCCGGCCGTGGGAGCAGTGCTCACGGGTTACATGGACATACCGTCCGCGTTCCGGGCGCAGCACATGGAGCAATCGAAACTACGGCTCCAGCACCCGGAGAGCAATCGAAACTACGGCTCCAGCACCCGGAGAGCAATCGAAACTACGGCTCCAGCACCCGGAGAGCAATCGAAACTACGGCTCCAGCACCCGGAGAACAATCGAAACTACGGCTCCAGTACCCGGAACTTTCGGCCTGTGTGCCCGGAACGGACGGTATGTCTAAATAGCCCGTACCTTCTTTTCAGAGCTCTCATTTTTGCGGGAGAACGCTGGTGAAAGAACATTCCTGGCCATTCTGATTTTATATTTGAATCTAAAGATTGGCGATGACATTTTTGCGTTCTAAGGTTGGCTGCCCTCTTAACATTGGCGGATCCCGCGATTTGGCATCACCGGATTTCCTCCATTCAAACCTATGAAAATGTATCGATTCTTGGAGGGGCCAGGTGCTCTGACAAGAATCGATTATTTAGCACAGGTTTAAATAGAGGAAATTCGGTGTTGCCAAATGCTGGATCCGCCTCTGCCTCTTGAGCGCTATGAGCTCCATATTTCGACGTGTCCATACTCTTATTATACGGCCTTGTCCCAGGGAAAAATCTCACTGGAGAAGTTGAGAAAAATATTGAGTCCGTCAATACAAATGACAGTCCCAAGCAGAGTCCTTGTGGAGTTTTAAGAGACACTCGGAGAGAAGGAGAAGAAATTTTGTTGTTTTGTTGAACGGGGAAAAAGCCCAGAAGTTGCATCCCTGCGATTGAGATATGATAGATGCTCCGCAGCCCGTGACAAAATAAACATTACAAAAAAAATAGAGCGGGTAACAAGGCTAAAAGTTCACACACAAGACAAAAGCGTTTCGGCTGAAAGTTCAGCCATCCTCAGTTGGATAAATAAAAATAAAAATTGTTAAAAAAACGAAAATAGCACCTGACAGCATAGAGAAAGTACAGGAGGTGGTGGCAAGCGGAGAAATGTACTTCTCTACGTCACAGCTAAAAATGAAGCCGCCATTATGATTGGTCAATAGGATCGCGGGAAAACCGAGACCTCTTTGAAATATTTAAAGGAGCGGAAAAGGTTGTGAGGTTCCCACTTATTTTTGCTCTAAACTCTCGTAACTGTGACTTTTTATGTTTCTCTATCGATGTTCGACTGTAACTGAAAATAATTTGTAAGTTTAAAAATGTATACCCATTTCATATAATAACAACTTTGATCTCGACTCGTCCCGTTTTGAAGGGATAACTTAAATTACGTTTTGTGCGTCAAAAAAGCAGAAATTGGAGAGTCATGGAAACTAATGTTCAATTATATGACTTTCAATGTTAGTTTGAGTGGTGATGTAGGTCTTTATACAGGTTCCATTATGGAATGTACTTTCTTTTTTAACAGCGCGCCAGTCCGCGTACTTTTCTACGTCATAGAACATCTTCAAGATGGCTGCCTTGCCACAACCTTCTGTATTTTCTCTATGACCTGACTGTACCTTTCAAATAGAGAATGTTGATATGACCGACATAACAACAACAGGTCATAACAACATTCTCTATTTGAAAGGTACTATTTTAGTTTTTTAACCATTTTTATTTTTGACCACCCAACTGAAGATGGCTGAATTTTCAGCCGAAACGTTTTGGTCTTGTGTGTAAACTTCTAGCCTTGTTACCTGCTCTATTTTAAATTGTTTATTATTGTATTCCTGCGATTCGAACTTGGGATAAACCCCGTGAAATGTCCCGTGGAAAAAAGGCATTTCGGTGCTCTAGTTGCAACGCAAAGGGAGGAGAACTCTGTGCTAAAGTCAAGAACGGAACTCACAATCAGTCCCATGATACATTTTGGCCGACGCACAGAGGCTCGAGTCGAGCAGAGAGGTTGGACATGAAATTTTTGACTACAACTGCAAATTTCGATGTTTAAAACGTCAAATGTTAAATTATGAGGGGGGCTTGCAGAAGAAAATTTCACAAGGAAACCAATGGAACCAGATTTAAAAACCTCAAAGTTTTGTATGGACTGAGTTATGAGCTTTTAAAGTTTCCAGATTTTGTCCGACCTCTCTTATAGACTCGATCCTTTGTGCGACGCTTGCATCCGCCCACTCTTCGATCCACCTCGGTTGGTGGGATTTTGGATGTGGCCATTATTGCTGCCAGTCGAATGTTGGAGGCGCAACACACTGTCGTCCGGAGAGAATTTTTGTTTTGTTGTGAAGAAGGTTGGCAGTAAGTTAAAAACCTCAACCAAATCCAAGCGGAAATTCGACTTTGATTTTAGACGAAACTTTGTTCAGATGTTGTACTAAGCGTTTCCTATACTGGGTCCCTAGTACCGGAGCCCGGGCTCTGGAGGGGCCCGTGCCGCCGGTGACAAACCATTACGAATTCACATATAACCCTTGTCTCGTAAGGAAAATTTACCCTAAAAATTTCACAGAATGTGAACAAATTTTCAAGAGCACACTGGGGCACTTCAGAATTCTTCTTGCTTCTTTAAAGATTTCTGTCTATTTTCAAAATGTTTAGTGTAGAATGATATTTTTAGTAAGTGCGTTTCATTTTCTTCCGTCGTCGGATGCTAAGAGTCTCCAGTCTGGGCATCCTAGACTTCAATGGCTCAACTCCCTTACCATAGACGTACGAAAGGGGAGACCTGGCCCCTCTAGGATTGAAAATAGTATAATCTACCTCACACCCAAAACAAAAACGAAAACCAAAAAAAAAACCAGCAGATGTTATGAATGCAAAAATTTGAAAGTATTTTGTGCTGAAAGTAAAAGTAATAAAAAAGAAGAAAAAAAAGGCGTAATTATTACTCTGCAGAAATTTATAGAAAATCTCTGTCATGGGAGCTCCAAAATGCGTCCAAATAGATTTAAAATTTCAAAAATTTCTCTGGGGAAGCTCTTCGGACCCCTCTCTGTGCTGGGGGCCCGGGCTTTAAAACTGGTGCCAGGGCCCGAGACAGGATGTGGCGGGCCTGCCTATACGCCTGGGCAAGATTAGAGTCCTCACATAAGCCCGTGTCCCACGATCGAATGAATTCATCAAATGCAAGATGGACATTTGACGGCCCGCTAACTTTTGATAGCAGACTTGCGCGAAATCCAGTCGGCATCTTGCATTTGATGACTATTTGATGAGTTCATTTGATCGTGGGACAAGGGCTATGGGGAGAAGTGGAACACGGCGAATCACGAATGTAACAAGCGGGAATAAAGATTACACAGTTTGAACGTTTTTCGTAATCTTTGATCAATTCATACCTGAATTTCTACCCTACGTTCCTCCTCTCATTCCGTTTGTTCCCTGACGCGCTCTCAATTTCTCAGTCAATTCCAGTTCATAAACTTCGCAATCGGTAAAAAGAAATCTTTGTTCCCGATTGATGTGATACTGTGCAGGCCTAAAATACTAGAGCCAATCGGAAATCGATTTCTTACGTCTTAACCCTCAATATGAACGGACTGTAGGCAACCCTCTCGTAACATTAGGAGGAGGGGGCAAAGTTCTCATTTTTGCAAAACTTAAAACATCTATATCTCAGTAAGGGTTGGGGGTTGGGATTGCAATTTACGTTACGAAACATCGAAAAACATTTTAACGAAAAAAAAAGAAAAAAAAACCCAGGCGAGCAAAGTTTGCGGATGCATGGTGTACATACAATTTTTGACTTTTGAAATTTTCCACTGCCAGCTTTCTCTATCTTCGGAATTAGCTAATTTTAAATGGAAACCTCATATTAAGCTTAACTAAACTGACGCAGAGTGGAGAAAGTCAATAGAAGAGTTCGACATGCATTTCTGGACTAAAACTGAAAACTTTAATGTTTATTCCGTAAAATTTAGAATTTTAAGAGGCGTTTCCAGTAGGGAATTTCACGAAAAAACCAATGGCACCACTTTTAAAACATCAACATTTCGTATTGAAGAAGACATACGCTTTTCACGTTTTTAAATGGACTAAATTTCGCAATTCCGACTTTTGGCTCACTGTAGAAACAACTTATGTACCATTAGTTTCCCTATGCACATAAATGTTTTTACAGATGCTCCAGAAATTATACTTCCGAATCGCAGAATGTGGTCCATATCATTTTGGACGTCTCTCGTTGACTCGATCCACGTTGATTGTGTTCATTCATCATGCTATT